TAACTAACCCCTGAATTTCTACATGTGCTTTCAGAATCCAAAAAGTGGCATAACTCCTCGAACCACAACAATGACTTTTACCTGTTTTGTGTTTTTTGACCTCTTCAATGCCCTGACATGCCGCTCTCAGGTGAGATCGCTCTGTCAGCAATAATTTCTTGTCTCAAAACATTAACATAAGCATTAGAATACTAGTATTTTGCACAGGAAGGGGTTTCTTGTCATTTAAAGCAGCATGATTTTTATCATCTTTATAAATAAAGATATCCATCATAGTTCAATTGCAACTACACTTACTGTGTAGCTCTGCCTAAGTTAGCATTCATGTAACTTCAAGAAGTAATGTATTTTACATGCAAAAAAAGAGTGTAGCATTTGAGTACCAACAGGAGATTGGGAAATGTTAAATTTCTCTTTTTTTCTTCCCCCCCCCCCCCCCGTCTAGACAAAGTTGATATTTGAAATAGGCTTTTTTCGAAACCGCATGTTCTTGTATTCTGCGCTTGGGTCATTTTTGGGACAGCTGGCTGTTATATACGTCCCTCCATTACAAAAGATCTTCCAGACAGAGAATTTAGGAGTGCTGGGTAAGTTGCAAAATAAAGAATGTGTTTTGATTTTGGGTTTGTTTTTTTTTTTTTCATTAAATCTACCTTAAAAAGCAGATGCGATTGCCAAATTGTTACATGATAGCTCTCAATTGCTGGTAGGGGAAATCAATTAACAGCTCCTATACCTATATACATACACATAGCTATACATGAATAGTAGTAGTATTTAATTATCCCAGCCTAGGTTTTAAATTTTGATTTACTGCACATAAAATGCATGTAAATGGAGACATGCCAAGATTTTCCATGAGCTCTGTATGATGATTATTTCTCTACATAAATCTATCTAGGATGATTATGCAGTCACTCCATTTTGAAAAAGCAGAGCGAATGTTTCCTAGATGAAATGCAACACGTATTTTACCATTTGAATCTGTCTAAGCAAACTCTACCCCACGGCTTTGTATTGCATCTACATTAGGCATGTTGTTAGAAGCAGGGTTCAATGATCCCGAATGGTTAACGTAGAGTTTCCATGCATCAAGAGGACTACACCAACTATGGTTATTCCTTGTCTACTGCAGTCACTTCTCTAATTCTACAGCTAGCAAAAGCAGAGCTAGGCCATACATCTATGGAGATACACCAGGACAAGTATCTACTGCAGGAAGGCCCTTAACTGGGGATTCCTGGCCAACACAAAATCCAAAATCCTGGCCCGCTATGTTCATCTCCATGCTGTTTCCTCTCGGCAGACCTGCTGTTTCTCACCGGACTGGCTTCCTCGGTTTTCATTGTGTCCGAGTTCGTCAAATTCTGTGAAAAACACTGCTGTCGACCAAAGCACACAAAGAGATGTCATAACTGATGCAAACTTCCTCTAACAATATACTTGGAAGGGAGCTGCAATGCTGGATAATTCAAATGCACCACTTTCTGACACCACACATCCTTTCTGAAGACACTCGCGTGAATCTGTACCGGCAGTCCTCCTTACGCCAGTCTGTTCCTTCCTCCTACCTAAACCGTTTTGAGCTGTCTACAAAAACCTCCGGAGTGGCTTCTGTTTTAAACCAAGATCAGGTATATTTTTATAGCATTGATCTATATGTCAAAAATGCTGTGATAGCCCCAGACAAAATAATAGTGTTTCATACCTCTACAGAAAAATCTACTGTGCGTAAACTGAAATTTTATTTATTTAAATCAAAACGATTTTTATTAATAAAATCTACATTTTAAAATGTTACTGACAAGTATCTGAATAAGACTCTTGATTTAGACCCTTCCTTTTATATTAGATTAGAAGAATGGAAAGGACCTGCTTTCACTAGCATTTCTTTTCCTATAGTCAATCTATAGTGGTTCTAGAATCCCAGATATCTAGCCTTGATTCAGCAAGAATCTCAAGGAAACTGTGGGGAAACATCAAAATAAAAAAAGCAGAGAGAGCTAAAGTGCCAACCCTCAGCTCTCAGCTTTTGCCGAGCACTGCAGTGATTTTTTTCGTACCTATATGATTAATAGGAGCGCAGGGAAGACTGATCTGATGCACAGTAGTGGATGGATTTAATGGGGACGGGACTCACTTTCACAAGCACATGAGAATAAAGATGATTCACGTACATAGCAGGGATGTTAAGCTTTGCAGTTGGATCAACAGCACATAACAGTGATGAAGAGATATTTAGATCATAGCTAAGCCTACTGCCGACCAACGCTTTCTGGGCATTTTTAGATGCATGAACATGAAGCACAGACTGCTTAATCATTAGGTTCAGGGGAAAAAAAACCTGGATCCCTTGCAAGCCAATCTTTTACATTTAAAGAAAAAATTTGAATAATCCCACCAGCTGGCTGGATCACTAGTGTCCTAGTAAGTAATGCTTCACTGATACATTTGCTGAAAGTGCCATAGTGCCAGTTTTCTTCTTGCCGCAGCTTTAACAAACACCTTCACTTCAAAGTGAAGATTAAGAGTCTCAGATACAAATGTGTCAAAAAATACAATTTCACAGGCCAAAATGCTATGCTGATCTTAACAAGATAATGTTTAAACAGGATTACATTTTGGATTCAGAGCCTAGAAAGAACCAGCTATACTGATACTTATTTTAAATCAAAGAAAACCTGGCTATTGAAGTATTTTTGGTCAAGAGCAGCTTTGCTTTGTGCAATTCACCCTCCCCAGATATAGTCTGCAAAGGTGTCTGCTCACTTTTTTTTTTTTTTTTTTAAATCCTTGCAAATAGTTTCAGTCCTCAAAAAAAAGTCACTGCCTTGTAATGGAAGGAAAAGAAAGTCTAGTTGTTTATTTCTAACTGCAGAAATTCAACTACATCTCATCCCTGTATGTCATCCACTTCAAGTATTTAGTCAGTGCCTAAGTGAAGAATACCTCTGAGACTTACGGTGGGAGTTTGAGAATGTTAAAATAAAAGCCAGCATCACCCCACTTACAGAGAACATCATGTACGTTATACAAAAGTATCAGTGTAACTGTTTTAATGCTTACATTTTTTTCTATGTGTTAGTCTCCCAAGTAAGTATCTGGTTTATTTATGCAAATACAAGATAAAAGGACATTATCTCAGGCTTTCAGAGCATACCCTGTGCTGGAACAAATAGCATATATGCCCCCATCATTAGTTCAGGTAGCATGCACAATGCACAGTTGAGTTCTACGATATCTGGCTGTAGCGATTTCTTCATGCTCTCCTTTCAAGGCTAAATTCATATTGCCCAATAATTTTTTTTTTAAATGGGATCTACATTAAGGCACAGGTGCAGATTATTCAGAATATTCAAATCTGTCTCCCTACAAAAAAGGTCAGGTAGAAAAAAAAGACCACATACAAGAAAATTCTAAGGGAAAGAATTTGAAGGAAGGCCACATGATCAGGAATTGCACTTATAGACTGTTACAGCACATTTTTTGCTCTAAGCTGCACAGATGAACTCATGCTAGGACAAAGGGGATTTCATACAGTCCTTCTCCTTAAGAGGAGAAAGACTGACAATCTTACATACTAATAACCAAAGACAATTTGCTGAGTTAGAAATGACAGGCCCTGGTAGAAATTAGGGTTATTTTTGACAAGTTAATTACACACAGAATTAGCAAGGTCAAACTAATAATTACTGATAGATGCAAACGGATTCAATTAGAAAAAGTCCTGAGTATAAACCTGACAAAACTGGCATTGACTGGTGAACAGCCAACACCACAGCAAAACCCCAACAACTCACTAATTACATTTCACTTTTTTTTTCATAATACAAGTCCTGAGTATAAACCTGACAAAACTGGCATTGACTGGTGAACAGCCAACACCACAGCAAAACCCCAACTCACTAATTACATTTCACTTTTTTTTCCATAATACAGTAATGATTGTGTGGAAATAAAGCGTACAGCAGTCTCCTTTAAACATGTTACAGACATAGCTCTGATTTTTTTTTTTTTACAAGGTATCTGCAGATACTATTCTGACAACTGTGGGTGCTTCTTACTTAATCCTTTTTACAGCCTGATCTTTTACTCCATTCTCAAGTGAGGCTACTAAAAAAGGCACCTTCCCTAGAGAATTTCTGCTGGAGGTATGGCCCATTCTTAGGATAAATATTGCTGAATGACTCCCAATGGCTCTGTTCCACTAAGTTTAAAGAGAAAATTTCTGTAGAAAGCTCTTAAGTGAAATGCACTAAGGTGTAGTGTAGTAGTATAAAACTGGATACTGCATACTTAGTATTCTGTACATCTAAAAGCCCATATAGTCACTTGCTGAAAATCTGACTTAAACGTGATATTTAATGCTTTAACTGGAGCAATGCAAATTAATAGCAACCTTCATATGGAATCATGTAGACTATTCTGTTTACCAACGTAAGACATCATTACAATTTGCAAGCTTCACTGACTAATTTCATTGTATGCAAATAAATATGTGCAGTTGAGGTATAAGAGCCTTAATCAGTGTCTTGAACAGTCTATATATAAATACATATCAATTCTCCCAGTCAATAAGCCGTACTCTCAATAACTTTGTCTTTTGTTTTTAATTCTGTATGCAGGCAGGATCTGTCAGGAATGCTAGGAAATTCATATTCAGCTAGACCTTAGAGATGTCTAATGATTAAGTACCAGGTTAATTTTTCTGTCCTCCCCAAACAAAACCCTTGTTTTGTGTTCAATATCCTTCAGGCGGGATATTGTATTGGACCTAAATATTACCTAAGTACGAGGCTCAAGCTTTGTCCCACTTAATTAGGCAAATGTAAGGGAAAAAAAGAGGAAAAAATATTCCATCCAAGGAATATTAACACTCAGGAGAAAAAAAAAAAAAAAAAAAAAAAAAAACTTCTCAAATTTCCACCCAAAGAAAATTAAACCCCAGGAAAAAAAAAAAAAAAAAAAAAAAAAAAGACTTTCATGTTACTGTGATTCTTTTAGTTATCATCATCATCCTCTTCAATGGGTTCTCGTAGACCTTCACTCTGACGACTTTTTCCAGTCATTTCTAATAAGGCCTGAGCCTCAGGATCTGCATCCAGGATACTCTTCTTACCTTTTGTCTTCAAAACAAAATAAAATATAGTCAATTTAAAATGTCATTATGAATGAATCAATATCAGGCTGCAAGAAAGAGACATACACAAAAGTCCACAAGTAATCTGGTTTGCAACCTAGTCACAATGAAGCACATACACTTTCCAAGTAAGGCATTTAAGATTCACTGGGATACATCAAATGATTTTTATCGCTCCAGGTACACAAAACAGTCATAAACTTTTCCTAAGATGACAGTGAACTACTTCAAGTTTAATCAGGTTACAAGGCAGCCAGAACATCCTGGTTAAACTGACCTCAATTTGAAGTGCAGATTTGAGCTTTTTTATGAAGAAGAGATTCAAGTACAATTCAGTATTTTTTGTAAACAATTTGTTCTGTTTCTATTTAGAGGTATGGGTGCTTTGAGCAGACACAGCACATGAATTTAGTATGAAAAGAAAGAAATTATTTAAAAAAAAAACCACCAGAATGTGCAGTTTAAGAAGAGAATAAATTACAGGGACAGAGGAGACTGGAAAGAGGTCTCTTACTCATTCCCAGAAATAAACCAGGTGCAGAAAGACTAGCACAAATCTATTTACATCAATTTACTGTAAAACTATAGTAAATTTACAAGTTACTGATAAAGAAATCTTTTGGGCTCTCTTCCTGAACTATAGATTAGGCTTTACTTGTGAGCTTCCAGTGTTTGCTTTCTGTTTTACAATACTGGGTTTTAATGAACCCCTCCAAGGACGTTCCTTCTGGAAACCATTCTCAATATCAGAAAAGCCTTTTGAAATTCAGCATAAAGTATGGCTCTTCTCACTCTATCACCTCATGGCTCCTGATGTTATTTCTTCTTGGCACCCTCAATAATTCTACTACTGTTTTGCTATTTACTTGCTACAAAATATATGGCATCACAGAGCCAGTTAAAGAAAACATTATTCATTACAACAGAGAGACAGTGTTTAATCAGAAAACTGCAGCTCCAAGTTTTGGATTTGCATCTCCCATTCCAATCAGGACACAATTTCACAGGTTTCAATCTTGTTCACCTACCCCTGCACTTTCAGGGAGGTCTCCCACTGCCCAAACTTCCATGGCATCCAGTGTAAAATCCTCTTTAGCTGACAGCTGGGGACTATTGTAGGTGGTACATCGAGGTTTTGCTTTACTGTGTCCCTTCCCATAGTCACTGTCTATCCAGAGTCCGAAGTAGCCATGTTGTCCTCCCATACCCTGTGAACCAAAGCAGCACACTAAACACTTGCTGTGCACATGTAAAATAGACTGGGCAAGTTATGAAACCTAGAGTATAAATTGCTGTTTCAGTGTTTCTGCCACACTTCTATGGGTAGATAAAAAAGGGTATTCTGAGTGAACCTGGGCTTCTGTACCAAAATCCACTATTCCTGAAGACAAACAAGAATTTACCTGAGTGATACTGCCCTCCCTCTACACTTTACAGGATACCAGTATCTGCAAGCTCTTCAGCTGCAGATACTGGTAGAAACTGTGCCAGAAATTTAGCTGACTGCCTTTTGATTATTAAGTAACAGTTCCATTTTAAACAGGGTGAAAGTGCTCGGTTTTGCTGCCTCTTTTCCATTTAGAAAAGTATCTACAGAAACAAATAATGTAATTTGATGTTTTTTGCTTTCTTTAGAGCAAATTTACGCCAGACTGCTGCGATTCCCAAAGTTATGAGCACAGAATGCCACAAAACTGTAAGGCACTTTTCAAAATAGGCAGCGTGTTGTAGTTCTGTAGAAACTCCTCCGCATCTGGAGAGCTTATTTGTGGACTTGAGTAAAAGGAGCTTCTGCCACTGTACTTACACAACAGCAGCAGCCTACATGGAACTCCTGTACTCCAATTCTGTTGGGCTTCCTCAGCCTTCCATAATTTAAAAAGCAGTTAGTGTGGCAGTGAGAACAGACGGTGGAAGGTTCCTAAGTTCCATAGATCAGCTAGCTTGTGCTGCTTCAGTGATGTGGATACATGCAGTCAATTCTTCCACACAACAGTGAGGACTGCTAGAAGGGCTTCCATAATAACCAAACTTGGCAAGATTTCTTCCCAGAACCTCCATAAATCTAACCTACATAAAGCCCACCTACTTGAGTTAGACACAAATAAATTCCATCTTAGCTGATTCAGCACTGCAATATACGTATGAGCTGTAAAAATTATAGACTCTATCAGTACTGTAAGCGGTTCTCCATCGTTATCCACAGTTCACAGAGAAGGGATGAAAACTTCCTCAGCGAATAACAAGTGAAAAAAATCTGCTCACAGTAATAGAATCAAAAAACACAAACCATTTTCAAATACCAGCCACGAATCCGATTTCCAAATTGTAATTTCTTAATACTTACAAGTCCATTCGGCATTGTTTGCTGGCCATGGTTCAAATACATGTAGTGGTCATTATACCCTGTGTACGTGTATACAGCAAGAGAGGGGAAAACAGAAAACAGAAAGCATCTGTTGTCACCTGTAAACAGAAAAACATCTGAAGTCAGACAACTGGCCAAGCAATAACTTGCCTACAAATAGGATAAGGAAAAAAAATACTGAAGTACAGCTGAATAAATCAAAGACAGCAGCTGCCATCTCAGAAAGCCAATACCTGTCTCTCATCAAGATATAGACCTATTGTTTATTCTCAGTTAACTCTGTGCAGGGTCACAGAAATCAATGTGATTATATGGCTGTGACCAAGGGCAGAGTCAGAGGCATGACTAGTACATTACATTACTGTGTAAGGGTACACCTATCACAGGCTTGCATTGTATCATCTAAAACTGGCCAGCCGCTAGACCTGTATGAGTGCAGACACCCTTAGTTCTGACTGTATTGATATATGGATCAGTTTAAGGTCAATGATTTAGGGTACAATTTTCATCATGCCCAGTTTGGTATTCAGAGAGACCTGTGGTATGATTGTCTAGTATGCTACATGTGTTATTTTATCGGGAAAAAATACAAGGAAAATGTTGTGCAATCGATGTAACATTACATTATGTTAACTGACTGAAGTGGTAATTACCAAATACTAATTAAGTATAGGAATCGAGTTTTTAATGTAGCAAACGTGAGGATTCCCAGCAGGACAGATTATCCAAAATCCGTAACTTTTTCGGAAAGCCGTCACAAAAGAGTTATGAAAAACATCTCTCTTCTCCCCAGAGGTTTCAAGGGAACAAAAAGTTCAGCTTGTCCAAGGGACCTTTTTGCTGCTGGATTTTAAAAGGGCAACAAAGACAGACAGTGCACAAAAGGCAACAGGAGGCTTAACCTGGTGTTTGGCTCAGCTGTTCTGAGATGGAAGATTGCCATCTGCTGGACATCTTATCTAAACCCGAATTCATCGTCTATGCTGCATTTCCTTCATTTTCATTTCATTTTCAACCTAGGCAGCTACAGGCATTGATAGATTTCACTGAAAAGAACACTCGTTCCATGATCAGTAAGTCCTGCAATTTTAAAAGTCTTATCAAATAACAGACAACCTATTAACATTAATCAGTAATATGCCTGACTGGGTACAACGCAGGAATGGCTTAGCATGTATTTTATATTTTTTCAAAAATTAGTGTTATTTTTGCCACAGGAAAATATACTTGGAAGTATAAGAAATACTGTGTGTCATGAAAGTAAAATGGCAGTACCCATTAAGTGGGCAGGATTCTTGTACCTGTACAGAATAGGCAATGTTTAGCAGAGCCGTGAGATACTAGAAAAAGAAAACCGAGTTTTACCTTGAAACTGTGGCTTCACCTCCCAGGAGTGAGATGCAAACCCACCAAAGATATAACCATCTAAGTCCTTTAAGATCACTATGCAAGGACCTTTGTTCACTATGTGCCCACATAACTGTGAAAAGCTTTCTCCATGAAGCCTAGAAGAAAATACAAGCTGCCACTTGTGCTGTAGCTCTGCAGGCAGATGGGAGTTGATGTATATGATGGATGGGATGTCAAACAGACTGACAAGTCCTCTTCCTTTGATGCCTTTGCAGCTTGGAACCAGGTTGAGTATGTCTTTGGTTTGGTCTGGGAGAGAATGCAGAACATGGAGACCTTGCCTGATAACAACACTGAGGAAAACTGAGATCTGTGGAACTCGGTACACCCAATCCTCAATGACATTTCGATCAAAGTTTGTCTCCATCAGCTGAGGACCCACAGGTTTTGTCCCATCTAAATAATAAGACAAACGGGAACAGTAGTAAGTCTCCCAGTCTGGAAAATGATCAGTTGATTTTTAAGTGTAAACACAGTATTCCGTAAACACAGTATTTTTATGGACATGAAACCACACATGAAAGGAGCCAGTGTCAGTAAAGTGTCAACTACATTAAGCAGATGCTTAACTCAACACAGAACTGAGAAACAGTTGTGTGTGTTTGGCTGTCATGATTAAGCAACATGGACTCCTAGTCACAACTTATGAGATGTTCTTTGCAAGACAGCAAAATCTATTGTTACAACAGTGCAAAGATAAGCCCATGCTTTTAGAAAGCATACAGTCATAAATATATGCATCTAAATGCCCGTCGCCTGCAAGTCAGGTATTTGTAAAATTGACATGTTCCATCACAAACAGTTTTGCATTTCCACTTAATCTGGGACTCCAAACCAAAGCTCTCCTGAATTTAGGGGAGAAAGAGGGTAAGGTAAAATAAATAAAATTCCCAAGTCATGCGCAAAGCACTAGGTTTGAAATACTGGTCTCAACATTTAAATTCAAAGGTGTGACTTGAGTAAAATTATTGTAAGATCAATGATTACATGAGCTCTGTGCTATTCTGGGACATACTACGTCAGTGCTGCTTACCTGCAAGCTTCAATTCTGATAGCAGCTGAGAAGCCAGAGCCTTTATGCCACATGCAGAATCCCTAGTATTCTCCGAATTCCAACCTTTGAGTCCCTTCCTGTAGCTCAGGACATGGACTACAGACATGATCAGATCCTCTGTGAACTTAAAAAGTTAAAACATCACTATTTTGGCCTTTCTTAAATAAAACTGCCAAGAGCTTCAAAGGACTTTCTGAAAATAAAGTAGTACTGATGCTGTAATCCCAATGGCAGAAACATGTCGTCTTGTGACGAGTCAGAAATAAGAGAAATGGTATTTCAGTGTCATAGGTCTTGAAAAGTATCCTTTTTCAAGACATTTTGTAACTGTTACTTCACAAAGCATCTCCATAAAATATGGCATAAAAGAGGGAGGGGAGGTCCAAATTTTGCAGTGGTAGGAGCTGCTAGTGAATTAGTGTTTGGTGAGATCCCACTCTTCCACTTCGCAAGTTACGTATTTGATTCACCCATCTACCCTGCAACTAAAGCTCTAGGAAGCATTTTGCTAACTTCCCAGAAGCACCAGCCACACCACAACCCTTGCTGGCTCTTAAATACAGACAGTCTCTGCACCCTTCAGAGTGAGCCTGTGAACCATCAGACAGAACAGCAAGTGTACTCTGCAAAATCCAGATCCTGGTAGTAGGCAAGTCAGCATGGAAAAGCCCGCAGCTGAAACGGTCACCCCGTATAGCCTGGTGTGCCTGCACTGTTTGTTCCAGATCAGAAAGTTAGTGGTAAAGAGATTTTAAAAAGTACAAAAGTCAGGAATACCATTTCTGAATCTTGTGCTCTAAAAATTACTTTCAAATTACCTACCCGACTCTGTTCTCTCACTGGCCCCCCCAACACACATTTAACTGCCTGTTTACCTCTTGGATTTGTTTGCCCTTCACAGGCCCTTCTCTCTTGGAGATCATTCTCATTATTATGGTAATCTTCTCATCTGCATTCCCTTTTAAGAGGTTTGACATAAAAATTACAAACTGCTCCTTAGCAATCTGTTCACTCAGCCTAGATGATTTCCCAGTCAGGTCAATACTTTTCATTCCATTGTATAACCGAACAGTCATTTGCTCTGGTAATGGCTCCCGCATATACACCTACGATGAGAAAAATAACAAAGAACATATTTTACAAGTGCAGAATAACTAATATATCCCAGCTAATCTGAACTGAGATATACTGCTATGAATGAAGGATTTCAATACCAAGTGTCTACTATCAGCAACAAACTTTTGTCAAAGGACTGGTTTGCCAAGAGAAAAAAAATTCCCTGTTTTTATAGTATCTCCTTCCCAATAATACTTAGTGATTTAAGTTGATACTGTTTTTCTACAAATGCCATGGACTTTAAAAAAAACCCGACACTGTAAAGTGTTTAACAGGATATTAGCAAAGGATTTCTGTATAACTCTGTAAGGGTTTATAACTCTGCCAGTCCATTTAAAATTGTGTTTCAACTTTGCTTTTGATAGTCGAGCTCACAGCTACTTAAAAACAAAGAGAAAGTGAAGTCTTCCCCATATCTCAGTTTTGGCCTCAAGACAATGCGGGCAATGTGTTTAACCCTATATGCATATACAGAAACAATTCTGAGAAGTTTCACTCTGCAAAGCAACGTCTAATTCAAGCACAGAACAAAATTGAGACCACCTGATTTTCATAAGGCATCCCTGATGTTAAGACAGTCAAAATCAAAACTTACTCATCTAAATTGCATGACTGGCCCTTTGAACTGAAATCTAACTGGTATACATCATCACGCATCACAACACTGTGGGAAAGATCTGACTCCGGATTCAAGAAACTTTCACAAATAAAAAAACTTTCAAAAAACTTTCACTGTTCAAAATAATTACATGGTTTAAAAATAAATAATCTAAAATACATCCATACACTAGGACATGATTCCACAGTGCCTGCACTGCACAAACCACTGTGCATAACATGTTGAACATGACTGCTGACTTGACTCTTACATACAGGGGTGTAGCCCAGTGGGGACCATGCTGAAATCACTGGAGCTCCACCTGTGTAAAAGCACTCCAGCTCTAGTCACTGGAGCTGCTATTACCAGTCTAGTGCCGGCTCAGTACCACTCCTGTTGAAGCTGTCAGGGCTGTTCCTATTTGATGTTAATGGCTGTTGCTGTGCCTATAGGGCGAGATCCAATATGCCAAGCTCTACCTTGCTTTTGTTGACGTCAGTGGTAAAATTCCCATTGATTTCAGTAGAAGCAGAATTAGGAGTCACTCTTACACATCAGAGTCCATCATATTGAGGGAGGGACGGTCACAGGGGGTACAGCTGTCTTTAAGAGGCTTTCTAAGACTGCTACATGAGCCTGAAGCAGCAAGGAACATAATTTAAAAGACCATACTCAAGGGTTTTCCACTTCACACCACAGTACTACCTACCTACTCCATACCCTTTCCTGCCCACCACTAACTTTGTTGCACTGTTTTGTTATGCTTATAGCTTTCCAATGAGTAGACCTGGGGTGCGAAAAAGGAGGACTGTAAAAAGGGAATCTTTAATAAACATCTAACAAACTCACAACTCAAGAGTTTAGAATCCTTGTCTTAAACTGGCTTCAAGAAAGTACCTAGAGATACCTGCTCTACCTGCTTTCCAAGCTATGCAGTACAGCCTGCTCTGGTCCAGAAGCTACGTAATTTCCTTCTAGTAAAGCACTGAGCCTAAGCAGGGTACATGAGGTTATGTTTGGGGCCTCATCCATTTTACCAGACTGTTGCTAGATCAAATCTGCCACGTATCAATCTAGGTCAGGCATGAGCACAGGCATGCCACTGCAATAGTCCTTGCACTAAGGAATTAGGCACCTACAGGCAGTCTTTCAAAAGATTTTAATTTAAGCTGGCAAACAAAAAGGCAGGAAGGGAAAAGACAAATGTTCACAGTGATCTAGGGGTGAAGTTAGAAAGAGAACTTCTTCCAGGTCCCATTCAAGTAACAGACACCAAGGACCAGGTTCTTGGATGTATTAGGGCTGAAAAGCTGAGGAGCACTGTTTCTGAATGGGTGATAGGTCATAAACAGTCAAGCTGGAGGAAGTCTAAAGTGGGTCTGAATGCAGATGCATTGCTAAATACCTTAAAATAACCTGCTTCTTTTGTCGAGTTTTAATTTGATTCCATTAACTGTGTAATATATATAAACATACACTTTTAATACTACATTAATTTGGCCACTTGGTTCCTGCCTAACTGAAGTTACAAGTATTGCAATGAATCATTTTCCTCTTTTTTCTTGATTAGAAAATGAATGCAAAGTTAATCAGAGAAAGCATAAGATATGTTAATTAGCTAAAACAGGGAGTCACAGCTTAATTAAGCAAAATTGAATTCTCTCCTTTTAATGCAAGTGAAGAGATTAGAGATGGTGATGTAACTGAGGAAGAAAGATATAAGCAAATACAAATTGACTTTCTGACAGCTTCTCAAGAAAATCTCTAAATAATCACACACTATAGACTCCAGAGGGATGAACATTCTTCCCATTTTTCAGGTTTCTGTAAAAATATTTTCATATGTCCCAATCAGACATATGAAATGACATAAAGCTGCAAATTGACCCAACAGTGCAATTTATGAGGTAAATACAAACCTGAAAGTCGCTACTCATGTTAAACTGTAAGAAAAAGTTAAATATCCATCCTTGCCCCAAAACATTAAGTATTAAATTGAGATAAGCAATCCTTAAAAAGTAATTATTGCCCCATCTTTAGTTTCTTTCTGGAATTATGTTCAATGTACTACATTCCAGACATATCAGGAAAATTGTCTTGCCTGTAGTGCTTCCAGAGTCACAGTTTTCTTTGTAGCTTTGCCATTTTTTGCTCCAGTTGAGCCACTTGATCCTGATAAAGTATCGAATACTCCATCAATGTCAGACTGCTCCTCAGGAAGAAATCTGGAAAGGTGATTCTGATAGGCATTGCTTTCTGCATTTCCCATCTTTTCAACCTGAACCAAAGGAATAAAAAAAACAGTAAACACAGAAAGGTATCACAATGGCCATGAAAGACATATCAATCAGACTAACATACCAGTGCAAGTTTTAAAAGAAGAACAAATTATGAGCTTTCTGGAAGACTAATAATATTGCTGTTTAGTCTCTGTATTCACTGAGGCTAAATGAATTTGAAGAACATCCATGAACGGTAACCATACTTTAAAAACGACAGTCTGCCAGCTCTTTGCTAAAACCACCCTGTCTACCAATTAAAACCTCATTCAAGTCTTACCAAATGGAAAAACCAATATGATTAAATTAGCTTGTACAAAGTGACCACGAGTCTGTCAGCTGGAATACATCAGTAACATGAAGGGAACAGCCTGATTATGGATTATTTATGACAGATTATGCTACATCTTTCTGATGCATTAATGGACTGAAGCGAAATCTGCCAATAATATGTGGCACTAAAACACCATCACTAAATTCTCTGCAGATGACATGAGAATGTTTTTTCTAAAGACGCAATAACAAAAATCATTCAAAAAGCTGCCAAGAAACACAGTAACAAAAACATTTAGGATGACTACTCAAGACACATCAGAAACACACAGCTTCAGAGGAAGTCAACAGATTGTTGAGACCTGATAAAACACAAAATTAAGGTTGGCAGGGAAGGTTGGTTTGGGGTCTTTTTGTTTCTTTTACACATTTAATGGTACAGCTACGATCTCTCTCACTGTCCCAGGATACACCTGCATTACAGAGACTAATTTTTTCGTGTTGTCTGGGCCATGTGATCTGGCTTTCTTCCTGGAGCAGCACGGCACAGACCTAATAGTGCCACAGCACACCTGAAATCCCAAATTCCACCACGACCGCAATGGCAGTCACCACTGTAAATGGGCTTCCCATTTACCTGGGGTAGACACACTCCTGGCGTGACAATATAAAAAAGATGAGAAGCGGAATAAAACATCCTTTTTGTGGTTTTCTTTCCACAAATTCCACATTGTTTCTGGAACCTCACTTTTGGTTCGGGATTCCCAGTTCCACAGAAATCTCTTTTTGCAGACGTCTAAGTGCGTCAGCCTTCAGCAGCCTCAGAAGGCCTCTTTGCTTAGCCTAATCCAATCTTTCTGCCATTCACTGGTGCTGACTTTGATAAACAACTGCACATATGAGGCTGGATTGGGCTGCTTTACCTTCGCTGAACAGTACAGGCCCAAAAGCCCTGTTTGCCTGTGAGGAAGATGTCGATCGTGGAGTAAACACCAAAGGGCGAATGGAAACGGCTGTAACCTGGAAGACAAACCGGGAAGACATTGTTAGCCAAAGCGCACGCCGGAGAAAGGCGGCCCTTGACACCTCCCTCA